TCCAGAAGGTAACTGTTGGCACCAGTGCCTGTCCCACTTGCCTGTTCCACTTGCCTGTACGACTTGCCTGTCCCAGTGCCTGTCCTGCACTGTCCCGGTCCTTGCCATGTTCCAGAAGACACCTTTTGGTGCCCGTGCCTGTTCCATGTGCCTGTCTGGTCTGCCCGTCCTTCACCTTACAGTGTCCCAGTTTCATCGACTTCAGCAGTTGTCGAAACTCCAACCTTTGCTGGGTCCAGACCCGTCAAAGCCTGGTAACAACAGACAGCTCCTTCCTGCATCCTAACCATCCCCCTCCTCTGCATGGCACTGCACATTTCAAATCTCCATGCTTGATCACCTCGTACGCGTCTGCCTTGCGTAGACTGTGTGCTTGATCACTGTCGTTGCAAAGCTTCTCTCTCTTCACTCCAGGTTCCTCAGGTAGCGGCCCGTGGCACAGCACTCCGTGACCTCCTTGCACAGCGGTGACCGCCGGGTTTTGGATGCAAATGCTTGACTTTACCTCGTACTCGTAAATCTTAGCTGAATAGGGTCTGGTTGGTTGGTCTCTCTGTTTGTCTGTCCGTGTGTATGTATATATCGTCACAAACAGAACTGCCCGGTATATATGTATGTATGTATGTATGTATGTATGTATGTATGTATGTATGTATGTATGTATGTATGTATGTATGCATGTATTTATGTATGTACCCTAAACTAGGGCCTAAAGCACATACAAATCACACAAAAAGAAAAACAAGGAAAACAGAAAAAAATCAGCATGATATATTAACAGTTTCGGTGGAAAATTCGCTGAAAAAACACCCCCGGTTAACCACCTGTGTGTATGTCAAGTGTCCAGATGCTGACCATTCTTTGAGAATGGTAGAATGTCAATGGTGCGAAATTACGTTATTCAAAAGAATCAAAACCATACATAGCCATGTTCTGCTGTGAACGACGCCTTCTATTTAGCAGAGTTTGTGTGGTCAGATGTGGGCGCTCGGACATGGTGTGGGTTGCTTAGTTCCTGGCAATGGTATACTTTCTCATTTTCAAATTTCTTGGGATGGTTTTCTCATTCGGCGGAAAGATTAAAAAATCTGAGTACGGACGCCGCCCGGCCGGGCCTGCCCGGCCGGGCGGGGCCCGGGCAGGTCGTCCGGGCAAACCGGGCGGGCCAAAAAACAGCCCAGAAATATATATATATATATTTTTGGAGGGCGGGGTCGTACTGTGCTCTGCGAGAGGACCCCGAATCTGCAATAAAATTCTGGTTTGGGGGGGGGTTATGGGTGTTGGGGACTCTGCATGTATGTTGCCTGCTGTTTGGCGAGATGGGAGGGAGGGAGGGAGGGAGGGATGGCGAGATGGCGAGGGAGGGAGGGAGTATGGTGAGATGGGAGGGAGGGAGGGATGTACTATGGAAGATGAGGGGGGGGCGGAGGAGGAGAGAAGTACAAGAAGTAA